GGTGGGGACAAGGGGAAAAAATGAGAACCAAGACCTGTCATGTAAAGGTACAAGATCCCAGTAATGAATGTAACTGTACTGTCTACCTAGAATGTACCAATAAATTCAATTTAAAATTTTAAAAAAACAGAAGAAATATCATTTGATCCTGTTTTTATTGTTTGGACATAGATTTTTTATTTGGATCATTTGGATTGTTATCATCTCCATTTAAAGGACAGAGATCTGGGGCCAGGATTTAGCTCAGTGGCACCATGTCTGCCTCAGAAGCACAAGGTCCTGGGTTTGATCACTGGTAGTGGGAAAAATAACAAAAGAAAGGACAGAGATCTGAAGGGCCTCTGTTCTTAAACATACAGACCCTGCAAAAAGAGGTTCTTCAGATTTCTTGTCCATGGCCAGCTTTCCCCACAAGACTGGTGCAGGATTATGTCAAGATAAGTCATATTGCTGATAGTCTCAGTAGTTTGCCAGCTCATTTAGTTATGGATGATAATTCAGGAAGCTCAGAGACTTAAAAGCTGTACATAATTTTTAGCTTCTTGCTCAGGGTCGCCAAATTTAAATGACTACAATAGTGTGTAAGAGAAGCTGGTTCCAGTAGTAGAATGGCTGGGTAGTGTTTGGCAGGTACCATTTCCATGGCATGATGTGCAACCACAGCTTAGACTCAAGGAAGTGAACGAGGATCCACTTGGTGATCAGGTATGCCAAAGAGCAACCAGTGGCTGCTAGAGCACTTTTTGGCAGCCAATTTTGTTAGAAGAGAAAGTGGACCAGTCTGAAGTCACTGAAGTCTGCAGGAGGCAAGGAAAGTGGAAGATTATGAGCATGTGGAAAAGGACTACCAGAAAGGATGGAAGAAAGGCTGAGGAACTCTGAACATGAACTTTATCAAGTTCCTGTCGATCTTTTGCTTACTATAATTGTTTTGTGATTGAATGAGTTTATCTTTGGGTCTAGTTTGGCAGAGGATAAATCTAGAAGAGACTTTAGAGCAAATGTTCTCCAACATGACTGGGGATCTGCATTTCCATAAGAATTCACACCTAAACCTTAACAAATCCCCAGATCAACAGGGATGAAATCTCTATGTGTCTTAGTTACATTCTTCATTGCTGAGACACACACCTGATACCCAAAACTTAAAGAAAGATTTGTTTTGACTTATGTTTAAATCCATGGTCAGCAGGCTCCCAAGAAATAATAGTGTGGCAGAGGACCATGGTAGAGGAGAAGTTGCTTACCTCATGGTGGTGGGGAAACAGCTAAGGGGAGCCGAGGGGAGACACACCCCACCATGCCATGCCCCCAGTGGGGCCTCCTCTTCCAACCAGACCCTGCCTTCCAACAGCAAGTCAGTTATGTCACCCCCATAATACAATCTCCTTTCAAAAGCCCCGCCTTTTAGTACATGGGGCTTTGCGGGGACATCCAGATATAACCATAACACCACACGTTGGTGGGAGAGGTTTATGTGGGTAGAGGGGACTCCTCAGCTAGAGGATTTCCCAGCTTTTATTAAGCTTCCATTTATAGATACAGAGCTTCTTCAGTAGAGTCATCTATTCTTGGTATTTTTCATCAAGATCTGCGCTATACTTGCTGTGGTAATTCTTCTTTTCTTCTTCTTTTCTTCTTCTTCTCCTCCTCCTCCTCCCTCTTCAGTACCCTCAGCCCTTTCCTTGGGGTGCTGGGGATTGCCTTTGCCCTGAGCTAAATCCTTAGGTTTGTTTGTTTGTTTGTTTCACAGTAATAGGGATTGCATTCAGAGCCTTCCTGCTGAGCTACATTCCAGCTTCTTTTTTTTTTTTTTTTAATTTTGAGGGACAGTCTTGCTAAGTAACTAAGTAGTTTCCCAGTCTGGGCTTGAAGTTGGATCTTCCTGCCTCAGTTTTCCAGAGTGCTGGAATTATAGACCTCTACCACCACACTCTGTACTAATTCTTCTTGCCCTGGTTTCTTAGTAGGCAGAGGACCTGTTGAATGAGAAGCAGTGCTGTCTCCAGAAAGCCTCCTCTACTCACTAGACCTGGAAATGTGCTGCTTCTGCCGCCTGTGGGTGACCACAGTCAGGTGGTCTTCATCTAGCATTTCCTCATTTTGTAATACATGAGAAAAGCAACCTTATTAGGCTATAAATGCCCCAAAGATAAGTATCATGCTAACATTCATAGTATTTTCCATGGCGCACAATTATATACTAAGTTGGATATGGAAGGGATGCAGTAAATGTTTAAGAAGATGCATTAAGCACATCCTTTCAAACAAACAAACAAAAACTACAGAAGAAATATTACACACACACACACACACACACACACACA